CGCCAGGGAGTGTTCCCGTTCCTGGGAAATGGAGCCCATTAACGAGGCTCCTGAGCCCCAGCCTATGGATGGGGGTGTTGGGGATTCCTGGGCGGAATCTCTGCCCTCCAGCCCCCACCCTAGTGTGGCCAATGGGCACATGCCTGCTCATCATACCCTTGCGGTGACTGTGGGTATGTACCCCCCAGGGGCTGGGTGCCCAGGGGAAATAGGCCCCCCCTAGCTGGGCCTTGGGAATCAGTGAGGCTCACCCAGCTCTGTGAGTGGGTGTATCACGTGGGGCTAGGGAGGGACCTGCCCGAGAGCAGTCTGGGCAAGCCCTCCCTTTGTGGATAGCATCCTGTCACATCCTTGCGGCCCTGGCTCCCTGCCTGAGGACTCTTGAGAAGGAGAAATCGGCTGTTTGGTCTCAGTTGCTACGGGGAATTCTTGGCCCCAGCTGTGAGTAAAACACTGTATGTTATAGTGTTTGAAAAATAATACATTCATGTGACCCAAAATTCAAAAGGCGTGGAATTCTGCCACCCCTTTCTCCCAGGCACCCAGTTCCTCCCAGAGGTAGCCCATGTTTTCAGCATCTTGTGTACCCACCCAGAGATACTTTGTGCTGATCAAGCAAAAGTCTATATATAGGACTCTTTTTTTTTTTTTATTGGAGTATAATTGCTTTACAGTGTTAGCTTCTGCTGTACAACAAAATGAATCAGCTATATGTATACATATTGGGTCCACTGCCTTTATCTCCTTGGATGCAAAGGGCAATGGTCAACATTTTCCCATTTTACAGATGAGGCAACTGAGGTTCAGAGAGAGCCAGTGACCAATCCACGGTGACACAGTGAGTGAGTCAAGGGCCAACTAGACCCGATCCCTGACTCCCAGTGTGTGTTCCTACCCACCCCCACTCGGGGCTCGGGGACTTGTGAAAGCCCTCTGCACAGAATACAGACCTTATAGTTTAGGTCCTCCTTCTAATGTCCATCAGCTTCATCATCTAGAATATGTTAGTGCACCTCTCTGAGCTCAGATCCCTCACCTATGAAATGAAGATAATAATTGATAGCTTCTTATGAGTTTATCATAAGAACCAAATAAGATAAAGCATGTAAAGAGCTCAGCACAGCACCTGGCTTTTCTACACCATTCAACAAGCTTTTATTGCAGGCCTACTATGTGCTGAGCACCTACTATGTGAGGATCCAGTGCAGCCATGATCCTGGCTCAGGGAGCTCACAGCCTAGCAGGCTAACAATAAGAGCTCAGTGAATGGTGGATGTTATTATTCAGCAAATAGTCATCTTGCCTCCTGGTTCTGGGAAGTGGAGGTGAGACCACCGTACCTGAGTCTCCACCCAAGTCTAGAATGTGGGACTGTGAGAGGAGAGGCCGGCATCTTGTTCCCCACCCTCTGTGTCCCTGACTGGGGTCACATTAGTTGAGTAGGTGCTCAGTAAATATTTGTGGAATGAATGTGCAGAGGCAAAAACCTTCGTGGAGGAAAGCCCCTCACCCTCCCGCCACACACACACACACACACACACACACACACACACACACATGCATGCAAGCATGCATGCATGCACGGACACACACACAGATTGCTCCAGGATGGGAGGACCGACAAGTGACTTGATTTGCTTTTCTCTGTGACTTTTGACTACGCAGATACCAGTGTTGTATTTTAAAACTTAATTGATTAATATTTTAAAATGGAACGGCACAAGAGCTCATCCATGGTGAACCATGCTATGTGTCCTGTGACTGGTACTGAAGAGAATTCAGAATGGGAGGGGGTGGCAAGGACGAGATACGTTCTCCAGGAAGGCGTCCTATAGAGGGTGGCCACAGAGACTGAGACTGTGGCACTAGGAGCCATGATCATTGTCAGCCTGGCTCCTGTTACCATCTTAGGACGTGGGGTTAAGTTCAGTGTGGCACAACGCCATTCTCTCGGTGTGTCCCCAGGCCTCCTGCCCCGCTGGACCTAGGCTTCCCAGACCTCCGGAGCTGCAACTGTGAGGTGCCAGGTGAGTGCCAGCACGTCCCTCTGTGTGTTCGCCTGTCGGTAGAGCTCCCGGCGGTGCGGGAGGGGGACACTGACGGTGAGTGCGCTGCTCGGTCCTGGGTGTGGCAGGCGTTCACTCAGAGTTGTTCCCTTCCTACCTCTCAATCCTCTGGAAGCCAAGGACATGGGAACCCAGCTGGCAGGAGTGGTCCCGACACCCCCAAAATTCTGATTCCAGGCTACTGTAATCGCAAAGAGACCTTGAAGGGTGCCAGCATGGGGCCGGAGGTGTACTCCAAGATAGCCCCTTGCCTCATTCTGCCCCAGAGACAGGCTGTCGGTGATGGAGGGGGTTTGGGAAGCTCCAAAGAGGGCAAAAGCTCTGGGGAGACAGCAGGTCAATGGCGGCAAAGAAAGAGCCCAAGGTGGGGAGGCCCTCTCGCTGACTGCTGTGTGGCCTCAAGCAGCTCACTTCCTGTCTCTGGGCCTCAGCCTCTTGCACAGTTCAATAAAGGAGGCTAAGGGCAATGATCTCTAAACCAGAATACCGAAGTGTGAGGCACATACCCCTGGGGGCGTGCAAGATGTTGCTGCGCGGTACACAGATGCAGCATTAAGTACCCTGGTACCAAATTCCAGCGAGGGAAAACCCACAAAGCTGTCTCCCTTTTTGAACTGAGTTTTGATTTACATGCAACAGCATGACTCAAACTTAGGGTCATTGTCAAGCAAGAGTATCTGGCAACAATGAAATGTCTTCATTTTATTGTCATTATATGTTAGCCTCTTTCTATTTATGGCAAAAGAGATAACGTTTATTTTTACATACATTTGTTTAAGTAAAAAAAAAAGAATAAATTTTGTTTTAAGTATTAAGCAATTATCCAGATACATAGGAGAGGGCAAACATGGTGCCAGGTGGTAGAGGGGAGACAAGCAGAAGGTGGGAATCCTGGCTGGATGCCTGGCTCTGAACCTGAGAGAAGGCGGGAAGGGCAGCGAATTAGGCAAGACCCTCTGCCCCGGAAGTGCCTCCTGTCCCGTGGGAGCTGTGCAGACATGAGCTCCGCGTGGGCCCGCCCACGGCTGCCCGAGAACCACGCTCGCTGCCTCTCTCCTGCCCCCAGCCCTGCTGGGCAGTGACCGCGCCTGCCCCAAAGGCATTTTGTACCAGGCGTTGTGTACCGAGTTACCAAGCCTGCCCTCCTGGGGTGTAAGTACCACCACCACTGCTTTGTGTATGTATCTGTCTGTCCACCCATTTGTCTGTCGGTCCAGGGCTCCTTTGGGGGGCACCCACTGAGAAGGAGACTCCCTGGCCAGAAGCCAGCTCTGATGCAGGGGCTGCCACACTGTAGCCCAGAGAGAGGACAGCCCTGGGCTGAGTGGAGCAATCCTCACTCTCTCCTGTCCTCACCTTCAAGTCAAGTTCTTTGGTGAGAAGGTCCCTGAAGGGCTGCAAACAGCCTGATGTGGGAATTTGTGTTTGCCTGGGACCCAGGATCATTCTGGGGTTCGAGTTAAGTTTCAGAGCAGAGCCACGTTGAGGGTCAGGTTAGAAGGTGAAGGTTAGGAGGTCCGTGTGTATTTGGTGTTGGGGATCCTTCCATGGCTGGAGTCTGGGGGTAGCATGAGCCCAGGATGGGGAGGCTCTGTCACTCACTCACTGCTGTGTGACCTTGGTCAGCTCCCCTACCTTCTCTGGGCCCCAGCCTCTTAAGGGCATAGGGAGGCTAAACGCAATGATCTCTAACATGGAGGATCTCAACGTCTGAGTCCCAGGACTACACACTCAGTTTGTATTTGGGGGAGGGGTTTCCCGGCACAGTCTCGGTGACGCTGGGCTTAGTGTGTGGCTGGGTTCAGAGGCTGCCATTTGACTAGGATCATGGGGTTCCTGTGTGTTGGGATCCAGAGGCTAGGGTATGACTGGGATCTCTGGCCAGGGTCGGGGGTCAGAGCTCTCTCTCTATGTGCCCTGAACGTAGCCATCTAACTTATGCCAGAGTGAGGCCAACTCCAGCCCCTCATCCCAAAGAGGCTGAGGCCAGGGGACAGGGCACTGGTCCTGGGCCTTCAGCCCCTCACCACTGCCCTCCCTTCTCATGAGCCAGGAGACCACCAAGGTGATCCAGACAGCCTCCAGCGATATCAAGGGCAAAGGGCCACGGTGATCCTTGGCGAAGTCAAGTAAGGTCTGCACAAGTGAGTCAGGCCTGGGGTGTGAACAGTTGGGGGTTGGTGGGGAGTAGCCTGAAACTTGCCCCCAGCCCCCAGAGAGCAAGGGCAGCCAGGAGAACTCAGACCTCCCCACCTGACTTGACCAGGGCCAGAAGCCTGGTATTGCACAACCTGCCCCCACCATGCTGCTGCAACCCACTCACTGTCCCCCAGTGCCCCTGTGGGGATTTACTGGAAGGTATCAGTCTCTCCAACAGCCCCAGTAAGATTCGGGCCTTAGAAGAGCCCTTTCTGATGGGGTCTTTTTTGGGTAGAGGGAGGCAGGGTAGTAAGATCTCTTGGCAAACTGAGTCTCCTGACCTTACCTGGGCTGAGGCTGTGCTATAGGCCAGGCGCCTTTACAAACAATACCTCATTTTACCTTCAGCACATCCCTCTACTGGCCCTGCTTACTGAACAAGGAAACAGGAGCTCGGAGAAGCTAAGCAGCTTGGAGGTCACACAGCGAGGCTAGCAGCGGCAAGCTCAGGTTCCAGCCCAGGTCTGAGCACTAGGCTTGGCCCCCGGAACACGACACATCCACCTTCTGGGCCCCTGAGGCTGCAAGGGAACAGATTCTGTGTCTGTATATCTGTATGAGGCCTCAGGGATGGGGAAGACACTGTTCAGGGACCTAATCTTTGTCCTAAAACCTCATCTTCCCCAACCCCCGCCCCCCGCCAAGGACAAGCTCAATAAAGGTGGACTCTGATTTGCACAGGTAACCAACCTGGTGCTGGAGTCGGTGTAAACATTTTACTACCACTAGGGGGCGATGGCGATGCTGAATGCCACCGTTACCTCTTGGGAGGAAAGCACCAGCCGCCAGCAGCTGGAGTGGGGGTGTCCCAGGTCTAGTGGGGCGTCCAACGGGGCTGCCCCAGCCCCGCACTCTCTGTGTAACATTAGGCTTCAGTTTCCCTTCTATAAAATGAGGATAAAGCCATCTTAGACCTACATCACAAGAGGTCAGAGATGGCAAAGCTGCCTGGAGAAGTTAAAAGAGATATTACCCTGAATAAATCATCAACAATTCAATAAGACCAAACTTCCATAGAATAAATTTCATTAATATATAACTTATCCAAAATAAACATGGGTGGAGTAGAGATTAAATGTGATTGACCATGACTGATATTAGGTGAAGCTGGACTCAGCTCCAGGAGGATAGGACAGGGCTTTGCCCACTGCATCCCTGGGCAGCGCAGGATGACAAGAAGTGGACATGTGACAAAAACACCCCCTTGCCTCTTCCCAGGCCCCCGACGCCCTTCCTTATTTCCCTTTGTTCTCTCAGAGTCCAGATCAGCCACCTGTCTGTCGCCAGCAGCCAGGTAGAGTTGGTGGAAGACAAGTCCACCAATGTCTCCATTCAGAATGAGCCTGTGATCTTCAAGGGGACCCTGGGGTGCCTGGAGATAAGCATTCCCATTCAGCTGACATGCCTCTCCCTGGCCCTCTCTGGGCTGAGGGCGGAGAGAGGGTCTTGGGCCGTGGCCTCCTTGCAGGTTGAGGGTTGATCAGCCATGTGTCCTGCTCCCTCTGGGGAGGCAGGGAGGCTGGACTCCAGGAATCGGCCACAGCGGAGAGGGAAGGCTAGGCAGACTGAGGATTCTGAGGCTGCCAAAGACGGTCCAGCCTAGGAAGTTTGCTGGCTGGGGGAGCCCAAAGCTAGCCTAGCTCCTGGCTGGCCTGGGCAGCACATGGGCTCTGCCTGGAGGCCAAAGCTGCCCTGATGTGGTGTCAGGGGTCTCTGCAGCCTGTGATTCTGGCAGTGTGTGGACCAATGCCCCTGAATGCTATCTATCTTTCCACAGGCTGCTCCTGCATCTCCAAGGGGAGTGCAAGTAAGTATGCTGCCTCTGTGGCCCCCATTTCTACTTGTGCCCCTTCCTGTTAGCATGAGCCCCAGGAGTATGGAAGGGTGGTGTGTCCACTGCCCCTCCGAGGGTCAACCCTAGACCATGCCTGTGGCAGCCAAACCTGGGGGATCAGTCTTTTCAGTGGGGGCATTACCTACCTCTCCCCATCAACGCCCCCTTAAAGGCTGGAAAAAAATAATCGCTAACAGTTACTGAGAACTTGCTATGAGCCAAGCACTTTTCCAAGCCATTTGCATGGATTAGTTAATTACATCCTCACAACCCAACCCTGGAAGGTAGATTGTGTTATTAACCCCGTTCTTACATATGGGCAAACTGAGGCACAGAGAGCTTAGGAAGGAAAGAAAAACTCATATCTGCTGGCATCCCAGGCATCACACAAGTTCGCAGCTACAATTCCTAGCCGAGCTAAGTAACTGGCTGAGGACACACAGCTCGCCACTAGGGGGTGGGGGCAGGATTTGAACCCAGCAGCCCCCCTGACTCTGGAACCTGAGATCCTGAGTACTATACTCAGATCTTTGTCTTGGCCAACCCTCTGTCAAATTGCTGTGAGCAGCCCTGATTCAGGCCCCTCTCTGCCCGTGGAGCAGATGGACACGTGTGAATCTGGATTCAGGCATATCCATATGTGTGAGTGTAACAGGTATGAACATCACAGGCAATGGGGCCTCCCGAGGGACTCTGGGCTGGTTAACACTCAGGTCTGAGGCTCCTTCTGAGGCTCAGTGTTCTTAGCTGTGAAATGGGGTTATAGCTGGGTTATAGGAGGATTCCAAGGCTGGCAGAGCCCTGAGCAGTGCCTGGCACACAGTAGGCGCTCAATGGATGCACAGGACTGGAGCACCGCAGCACTTGCTCCCTTCAGGCCCAGGTGGACCAAGCAGCTGTTCACAGACTTCATCTCCTTCACCCTGAAGCTGGTCCTAAGAGGACAGGTGAGTGGGGCTCGCCTACCCCTCTGGCCCAACCACTCGTTGTGGGGAGCAGTCCAGGGTTATGCCCCGAGGTTGGGTGGTCCTTCCCCCACTGCCCTTCCCTGAGAAACAGCCACCACTTCCCAGTGTGGTCAGCCCCCTGTGCCTGTTCCCAGCACTGCCACCCCCACGTGGCCCTGCCCCTCTTCTGGTCTCCTTTCCAGCCTGGTGAGCCGCCTGCCCTGTACGCCCCAGATCTGCGAAGAGATCTGCATCATCTCCAGCATCATAGCCAACTTAGTCCAGACAAGGGCTGGTGAGTGTGCTTTGGTCTGCATGCCTTGGAAGGCAGTGGTGGGAACCAGGAGGCCACCTTTGGTCACTGTGAACCTTGGGACAGTCATTGCCCCTATCTGGGTCTCACAGCCCCTGTGTGGCTCTACCGTTTGGTGATTAGTTATGGTCAGGCTATGGCAAGTCACTTCCCCTCAGGGCTGCAGCCTATCAGGCTGTGACCTTGGGCAAGTCACGTAACCTCTCTGAACCTCAGTTTTCTCATCTGCAAGATGGGGGTGATAATAGCAACTACCCCATACGGCAGTCGTGAGAATTGAGTGGAAAAAAATGTATATAAAATGTTTAAGATGGTACCCGGCCCAGTTGGTCCCTATTATTACTACTGCTGTTACTAGCCTGGTACCCCCAGCATGAGCATACTGTCAAGTACTTCTCAAGCAGCAGTAAACACCGGGTGAAAGCTAAGAGGAAGAAAGTGGTTTGGAGATCTAAGACTCCCTGAGTCTCTTCCCTCCCTTCCCATACAGCCTTAGGCTAAGGGGGAACTCCCACAAGGCTGTGCAGTGAAGAAAAAACTACTCAGGACTCAATTTTCTCATCTGTCTAATGGGGACATCACCAGGCCTTTGAGAGGGACCCAGGACAAGAGGTGAAGGTGATCTGAGAGGTAGGAAGCACTGTCCTGTCCCAGTCCTAACACGAATACAAGCCAATGTTTGCAGAACGTGCTACCGACCAAATACTTGACTTAGATTAACTGTGGAATGCTCACAATCACCCAGCAAGGAAGGTAGTGCTAACACCCCATTTTATGGATGGAGAAACTGAAATTTAGGGAGTCGAGGGGAACCCCCCAACCCCCAAGCTGGGAAGCAGAATTTGAGCCTGGGCCATCTAAAAATTCCAAGTCCCTGTTACTACGTCATAACTGCTCCCACTGTGGTTGGCCAGCAGAGGGGGAGGTGGCCAGGCTGAGGGATGCGCCCAGCTCTTTGGACCCTGGCACGTAGTAGGTACTCAGTGAACAGAGGCAATAAAGGACAGTGAAACCCACTGGGTAGACCCTCTGGGCTCCTGTGGGGGCCTTAGGAGGGGAGACCCCTGGTGGCACCAGGTCCGGGGCAGTGTGGACTGGCAGTGGAGGGGTGGAGGAGGGGGTGGGGTGAGCATAATTGCATCTTCCTGCGCGCTAGATCCTTCCCCCGACCCCACTCCCATCACTGCCCAAACCTGGAACGGGAACCTTGCTTGTCTCTCTGGGAACACCACGCCAGGGGCTGTGCCATCAGAGTGCATGTAGGCAAAGCTAATGCGAGGGTGAGGCCAGCCTCCCTGGACAGGCCCAAGCAGCTGCCAGAACACAGACACGGCCAGGGGGCCTCACCAAGGGCACGGCTCTTGATGCAGTACTGCTACACTCCCCCGCCACCCTCCAGCCCTCGGGCTGGTTCTGCACCAGGAGTTGGAAACTACCTCCCGAGGGCCAAGTTCATCCTGCTGTCTGCTTTTATAAATAAAGTTTTATTGGCTCATGGCCACGCCCACTCATGTAGATGCTCCTGCCCGTGACTGCTTTTGCCCTGCAGTAGCAAAGTGGAGTCGGTGCACAGAGACTGCACGGCTCGCAAAGCCTAAGGTATTTACTATGTGGCCCTTTACAGATAAAGTTTGCCGACTCCTGGTCTGGCCTGTTGAACTCCATGACGCAGACCAGAGCTGGCGGTGGGGGCGATCTCCAGGTTTCTCTTGGGAGAAGATTAGGAGGAAAATCAGAGTAGCTTATGTTACTGGGTGCTCACCCACTTTTACCAGATTGTTCCATTAAATACATAGCTCTGAGGTGGATGCTCTGATTGGAGACGAGGACACCGAGGGTGCTGGGGGTGAGGCTCGGTCCCTGCCCACAGATCACCCAGCAGTAGAAGGCTGGGATTACAGCCCACATCTCCGACTCAGAGTCCCACACTCTGAACCACTCTTCTAGAAGGGCTCCTGCAGGGCAGGGCCACCCAGACAGACAGAAGTTGAGAAGAGAGAGGATGACAAAGTGCACCCTGTGCACCCCAGGACCCATTTTACAGATGGGAGCCCTGAGGCTGGAGGCTGGGGGCACCTGTGAGTGTTGGGCAGGGCCAGGAGGAGCAGGTGACTCAGGCCAGGCGCCCCATCCTGAGGGTCCACCCTGATCTCTCCTTCCCCACAGCCAACATCCCCTCGGATGGAGACTGTCATCAAAACCACCCACCTAGGGTCCCATCACGAGGTGGGAGTGGTGGGAGGGCAGACTCCACGCCCTCTCCAGCATTTGTAGACTTTTTAAGTATGGTCATTCTGACCGGTGTGAGGTGGTACCTCACTGCAGTTTTGATTTGCATTTCTCTAATAATTAGCGATGTTGAGCACATTTCCATGTGTCTATGGGCCATCTGTTTGTCTTCTTTGGAGAAATGTCTGTTTAGGTCTTTGCGGCTCAGAATCTTAAGCTTGCCCTTGACTTCCTCTTCTCATCATCCCCATTATTGAGTCCCTATTATGTCCTCAGTATTTCTGGAGCCTGTCCACTTTTCTCTGTTTCCATCTCCACCTGGGCCAGGCTACCATTATCAGTTGTGGGGACCCATCTACAGCCTCCTGCATCCTGACATCTCCTGAATCTGTTCCCCACAGTAGCCTCCAGAAGCAAAGCTGATTGTTCACTTGTCTGCTTAAAACTCATCAAGAATAAAAGTCTTAGGATAAAAGCAAAATTCTCTGACATGGGCTCCAGGGTCATGTATTTTCTGGCCCCTGTTTACCTCTCAATCTAGTTGTTTTGGACTCAGCATAAGCATTCAGTTTAAGGGATGGTGTCTTTCGTCAGCTTTGGAAATTTCTCAGCCACTCTTTCTCCAATTATTGTCTCTCCTCTATTTTTTCTATTCTTAACGTCTTGAATTTCCACTAGATGTATGTTGGGCCTTCTCATTCCATTCTATGTCTCTTAGTTGCTCTGTCATAGTTTCCATCTCTTTCTATCTCTATGCTAAATTCTGAATCGTTTCTTCAATTATCTCTTTCAATTCACTCATTCTTTTTATAGCTGTGTCTAATCCGTTTACTCATTCACTGAGTTTTTCATTTTAAAATTAATAATTTTCATTTCTAGAAATTCTATTAAGTTCGTTTTTTAAAATTGAAGTATAATTGACCTTCAACACTATGTTAGTTCCAGGTGCACAACATAGCGATTCAGTATTTCTATAAATTACAGAATGATCACCATGATAAGTCTAAGTACCATCTATCACCTGAGTTATTACAATATTATTGACTATATTCCCATGCTGTACATTTCATTCCTGTGACTCATTTATTTTATTTATTTTTTTAAAATTTATTTATTTATTTATTTTTGGCTGCATTAAGTCTTTGTTGCTGAGCGCAGGCTTTCTCTAGTTGTGTTGAGCGGGGGTTACACTTCGTTGTGGTTCACGGGCTTCTCATTGCAGTGGCTTCTCTTGTTTCAGACCATGGGCTCTAGGCACATGAGCTTCAGTAGTTGTGGACCGCGGGCTCAGTAGTTGTAGCCCACAGGCTTAGTTGCTCCGCAGCATGTGGGATCCTCCCAGACCAGGGCTTGAACCCGTGTCCCTTGCATTGGCAGGCAGATTCTTAACCACTGTGCCACCAGGGAAGTCCCTATTTATTTTATAGCTGGAAGTTTGTACCTCAGTCTCCCTCACCTATTTCATTCATCCCTCCAGCTCCCTGCCCACCTGTTTGTTCTGGGTATCTACAAGTCTGTTTCTGTTTTGTTATGTTTGTTCATCTGTTTTGTTTTTTAGATTCCACGTATAAGTGAAATCATACGGTATTCACTTTTCTCTGTCTGACTTATTTCACTTAGCACAGTACCCTCTGGGTCCATCCATGTTGTTGCACATGGCAAGATTTCATTATTTTTCATGGCTGAGTAATATTTGTTATACCACATCTTCTTTATCCATTCAACTATTGATGGACACTTAGGTTGCTTCCATATCTTGACTTTTGCAAATAATGCTGCAGTGCACATGGGGGTGCATATCTTTTTGGATCAGTGCTTTTGTTTTCTTTGGAAAGATACCCAGAGGTGGGACTGCTGGATCATATGGTAGTTCTATTTTTAATTTTTGAGGAACCTCCATACTCTCTTCCATAGTGGCTGCATGAATACGCATTCCCACCAACAGTGCACAAGGGTTCCCTTTTCTCCACATCTTCTTGACTTTATTTTCAAGTTTTCCTTTTCAAATCTATCTTTTGTTTTTTCCCCCTGGAGTCCTATGCTTTCATTATGGTGCTATTTCTTTAATTATTGAAAAATTAGCTCCTTTGTAGTTTCTTCCATGTTCTATTATGTCAGAGCCTTGGGGTGCTTATCCTCTTGTTGGTTGTGTTTGCTAGCTCTCTCGTGGTTTTCTTGTGTGGCTTGTAATATTTATTTTCTTAGAAGCTCAGCTTTAGTGGAATTTGGTTTTTCTGTGGACAGACTCTGCTCCCTGAATCACCCACATTTCCTTAGAGAATAATTTTGCACTTATTACTGCCAGGGACCCCAAAGGTTACATCATTCTTTCCTTCCTGGCTTTGTAGGTCCATTTCTCAGTTCAGGAAGTCCTGCACCATGCTGGCAGTATAAATACATACATAATTCAGAGCTGCACATCTGAATTATGCTGAACCCGAGCTGCAGGCTCGGGTTCTCAAGTTATACCCTCCCAGACCCACCTTGGCGTTTCTTGTGGCTTCCTTTGGTGGGTGAAGTCACTTGGTCTCCTTTTCACTGAGAGGAAGTATTTCCATCCCCCCTCCTCTCACTTCTCTCCCTCTGACAGTGTTAAAACCCCATTTTAGTGTGGTCTGAACCCACATCCAGTGCCTGTCTCTCTGGGCCACGTTACTTATGGTTTTAGCTCTCATTTCCCTCTTCATCTTTAGTATCTGGGATTGTCCCTTTCCTTTGTCTGAGCTCAGCTGTGTATTAAATAAAACATTTTGTTGCAAGGTACCTATTGGTTCAATTTTTTGATGGGGAGAGGTCTCCCTGAGCCCAGCCCAACAGTCTGCAAATCGGAGGTCCTGCCCTCCTGCCCAGGCCGCCTCGGGCCGTACTTCCCAGCCCCTGGCTGCCTGTGCATTGACCATGTTCCCCACCCACCACAGGGCTTTTGCACATGCTGTGCCCCCCTGCCCAGAGGCGTCCCCTCTTCCTTGCCCCATCTGATTACTCCTCGTCCTCAGAGAGGGCCTCCCCATTCCCTAACTAGGTGAGATTTGCTCTCCAGGGCTCTCAAACCACAGCCCGGTGCATCCATCCTTTAAGACGCTCCTCAGGTGCCATTTTACATTTAGTTCTGGGATTATCTGATAAACATTGAGCCTCCTGAAGGTAGAGACCAGGTCTATTGAGCTCTGCACTGTCCCGCATATCCTCACCCAGGGCTGAAGCATAGTCAGCATTTCATGAATATTGTTACACAAAAGCAATGGCAGCTTCTTTTGGAGGGTGACCATGCGCAGGTCCTTCCGCAAGCTCTTTATGTTGATTCTCTCATTTAATCCTTGCAACAACCCTCAGAGGTACGTACTATTATTATCCCCATTTTACAGATGAAGAAAGTGAGGCACAGAAGGCCTTTCCACACACTAAGAGGTGGGCAAGGCAAGGGATTACTTCACTATCACACAGGTGAGAAAACCAAGGGCCAGAGAGGGCAAGAATGATGCCCAGGTCACTGGCAAATTAGTGATGGGGTGGCCTGGGCCCCAGCCACTGCCCTAGCTGCTTCCTTTTTTTCTCAGCCCTGGGAACCCCGAGTCAGCTTTGTCCCTTGTGTCTCCAGAGGCAGTGGCCACAGCTGTTCTGATAGGCCCCCATGCTAGCCATGGGACCCCCTCTGTGTCTCCCACTGCTTTCCCATAGCTTCCCCGCCAACCAGGCCCAGGTGACTGTCTACAGCCTCAATATGTCCAAGCTCTACTGTCAGAACAAGGGTATCATGGTTCTTCAGTGATGGTGTAACTCCCCTCCCTAGCCCAGACAGGCAACTTTTTGTGGCCTACACTTTTTTTTTTTTTTTTTTTGGCTGGGAAGTCTCAGGTCTTTGGGGCTTTTGTTTCTTCTGGAAAAATGAGATTATGGGCTTAAGTAATGTCAAAATCTCACTCAGCTATAAGGATCTAAGAGCTTCTGTATTTCTTGGCTACCTTGAAGTGGCTGAACAAGCCAGAGAGAAAGAAAGAGAGCCTCCTGGCAGCTGAAATGAAGCAGGCCTGTAGCTAAACATTAATCCCAATATCTGAATGTTGACTGAGGCTGAGGCTCAGAGGTGGAGCACAAGGATATTTTGCGGCCTCCCTTTTTTTTTTTTTTTTTTTTGGCTGCACCAGCAGCATGTGGGATCTTAGTTCCCCGACCCGGGATTGAACCCACACCCCCTGCATTGGAAGCACGGATTCTTAAGCACTGGACCACCAGGGAAGTTCCTGAGGCTTACACTTGAAGAGGTGAAGTGGGTACAGACAGAGGAAGGCAGGGAGATGGGGAGGCCGGTAGTTGGCAACCCCTCCGCAGATGGACCTCTGAAACCTCCAAGTTCTCACTGCTTCTGCTGTGATTGGTTGTTTCTGAAACATGGCTGTCCTCCTGATCATCAAAATCACACGATACAAGTTATGAATGGGGTACACATGGGAGTTTTGACAGTTTTAGTAATATCTTATTTCTTAACCTGGGTGGTGGGACGTGGGTGTTTGTAACATAGGTCCCCAAACCACTGTCCATCTCCATTAGGGCCACATGACTTTCCAAACCCAGAATTTTGTGTATTTTAGAAGGTAGTACAGGTACATGCACACTAGATATATTGCAGGACACCCGCATGGGATCTGGGGTGGCACCCCACAATCAAGTCCACTGACATTTCTCTGCATATGAATTTTCACATAAAGCAAGGTAAGTACTATAAACAGCCTTCCATCCAAATGGCCAGGTTTGCTGACAAACTTAAGAAAAAAACTTGTAGTCTTCAGAGCGTGTTTGATTTTGTCATTGTAGGTGAGGAATTGATGATCAGTACTACTCCTAATGCCCCTCTGCATGTCTTCAATATTTCTTCATACATGAAAACGGCAGACAAAAGTAATGTAGGCACAGAGTGGAAAACAGAGAAAAGTATAAAGAAAAAAAACCACCGCGGTCATTCACAACCATGGCACATTTGTTGTAACTTAAGAGATTAATGTTGGTATATTGCTATTAACCAAACTCCAGACTTTGTTTGAATTTCACCAGTTTTTCCACTGATAGACTTTTTCTGTCCCAGGATCCAATCCAGGTTAGCACATTGCATTTAGGTTGTTTTTTTTTAATCTTTTAAAATTTTGTATTATTTACTTTTTTTTAAATCTAGGAATCTGAAAAGTTTAGAGTACTCTTAACACCCAGCTGTAAACTCCACCTCCCAGAATATCCCATTTCATTTCGCCTCCCCTGACTTTTTCTCAGAGTCCCCTGTTGTTTCTGGCTCCTGAGGACTTCCCTTCTTGCTTTTGAGTCTGACTGTGGACATACATGCTTTTTAGGAATCTATTAACCAAGACTTCTATGTGCTGGAGTGCTTCCAGAGGCAGTTTGAACTGGCTCTTAAGGGGCAGGGAGAGAGCCAAGCGCAGGTGTCCTGCCTGGGGAACAGCAGTGACAGGACCAGGGGGAGGAAGGAAGCCCAGCGTGGCTGAGGGAAGGGTGGTTTGGGGGTAAAGGAGTTGCAGATCAGGCCAGGAGTTAGGTTGAGATCATGTCAAGGAGACTTAAAGGCCAGAAGGAAGCAGTAGAACCTCCAGAAGGCTTTGGGGTGGGGTGTGGGAGGAGATGCCTTGGTTGGCGCTGGTGCGGGATGGCTGGATTGGGGAGGCATCAAACTGAGCCTCTGCTAAAATGGTAGAGAGCGGCGTGGCTCTCAAGGGTCAGCTGGACCCACCCCTTCACTGTACAAAGGGAGTTCCACAGGCTGAGAACTAGAAGGACATTTGTTGAAGGTCACATGTCACATTCATATCAGAGGCAACAGTTTCTGTGGCCCCAGCATTTTTATGTATGGATGGATGTATTTTCAACAATATCTGTTGAGTTCTTACTCTGAGCAAGGCCCATATGGTTCATGACTTTGTGAAGCTTATAGTCTAGGGGACGTAGGCAGAGATAGATGATATCTAGCCAAACAAAAGACTATATAACCACTAATTGTGCCTGGAGCTATGAAGCAAAAAGGGGTGGGTAGTTGGGTGCTTATACAACTCATAGCCCCAAATCAAGAGGCTATTTGAAAGTTATCTAGTGCTATGGGTCTCAAACTTTGGCCTGTATCAGAATCACCTGCAGGGGTTGTTAAAACAGATTCCTGGGCTCACTCTCAGTTTCTGGTTTGGTGAGCCTGGGGTAGGGCCTGAGAGTCTGCATTTCTAACAAGCTCTCTCCCAGGTGGTAAAGCTAATGATCCTGGTTGAGGATACATACTTGGTCTCTGGAATGTAAAAATGCAGCTAGATCCAACTGCCAGCAGATGAAGTGTCACCTTGTTTTGCTGATGGTTTCATTCGGGAGGTGGAGTAAGTGAGCCCTGCAGGAAAGTCCTGGTGCTGGTTCAAACCAGGAAGAAGCTGTTGGGAATGTAGATGAGTGAGAACCCAGGAGAGGACATGCCACATAATCCCCAAGCGGCAGGTCCTGGGGAACTCCCTTTTGTTTGTAGAATATCAATGCTAGGCTGACACCAAGAGTCCCCAGGGTCCACCTCTCCTCACACCTCTCCCATCGCTCAGCATAGAGAGTTGAGGGTCCTGGCCTTGGGGGTTGCTCTCTGCTCTGAGGAGGGCCCCTGCTCGCAGGGAACCTGGTTTCTCTCCCCAGGATACCACCTGTGGGCTGCAGTCTGCAGGCCTGCGAGCCTTGTAGTTGCCCAGCCTCAAGACCATCGGGGATCTTGGACAGGGGATCTTAAGCAAAAGGTCCTGGAGCGACACCTCGCCGGTTAATGCCGCACAGGGCGGGGGTGGGGCGGGGAGAAGGAGGCTACCATTCGTAGCGTGATTGACATCAGGTGGAGTCATCAGTTACCGGGGAAACGAGCAGCTGGGGCGTGTCCCTCACGGACCCTCAGGTTAAGGACCATCAGGAGGGCAGTTGGTTCCCTTTAATAAACTAGCAGGTGGAGCCACTCTGGCCTAAGGATTAAAACAAGCACTAGCTGGGCGGGGCGGGGCAGGGGGCAAATGCGTTAACCTGCGTGGGGTGGAGGTGAAGCGGGATCTGGTCGAGCACGGGATGTACAAAGAACAAGAGAACTTCTCGAGTGGCCTGACAACACACCATCACTACCATCCAGGCCTCCTGCTCCAGGAAGGAGAACTTAAGCCTCTTGGATTCCCAGTATGTCTGCAGAGAGGGGGTGAGTGGTTGACTCAGCAGATCCCTCCCTTGTCCCTCTGACGTCAGGCACAGGATATTGGTGGGGAAATATGGCTCCTTCCCTCCAGGACTTAGGACCTGACTTCTGGGGGAGAAGACTCCTACCTAGAGTCTCAGTTCAGAGGAAGAGGCACCATGAAGGATGGAGGGAGGGCATAGCCAGAGGAAGGGCCTGCCCGAGCAAAGGCCTGGTGGCTGGGATGGCAAATCTCATGGGAGAGCTCAAAAGGGCTCTCTGTGGAGGGCCCTAAATATAGACGGAAGCACTTGAGATAATTCCTAGTTTCTTTTCTGGGGGATTGGGAGCACAGTGGAGGGCCAAATTCTCATCTTTTTGACTTCAGGATTAAACTGACTTTTTCCACATTGACCAAGGTAGGTGGTCTTGGGTGCACCTGGAGAAATAAGCGCCATAGCGGGACTTCCCAGGCGGGCCAGTGGTCAAAGCTCCACACTTCCACTGTAGGGGGGCAAGGGTTCTCGGGGAACTAAGCTCTCGCATTCCTCGAGGTGCGCCGAAGAAAAAGTCCCGTGTACCTCATGTCTTAAAGAAAGCGGACACAGAGTCCTAAAGGAAATCAGGCAACGGGACCAGATGATCCCTCCCTTATCTTGTGACCCTTCTGCCTGTGTGTCTGTTGGGACGACGCTGAGATTGCAGAAATGGAACGCTGGTGGTGTGGATTAAGGGGGTGGGGAGGGCAGGAGAGCACTGGCCAGCTGGCCGCTCGCCGGGCCTTGTTTCCTTGGATGGGATGCAGTCACAGCCCACCCCAGGGCCTAGGGGGCCCTCACAGAGGTCTGGTTTCTGGTAGAAGAGGAGGAGGATGGAGCCTCTAAAAAGCAAATCAGACTTTAACATGGAAGAGTAACCCCTTAGGAGCACCAGCCAGACCACCTTCTGAGGCTCCAGGCGTGTCTTCTTCCCACTCAGGCTAGAATACGGGAGGCTCCTCTCTGCCATCTCAGTCTCGGGAGGTACCAGGCTCCAGGGAGGGTGTGTGAAGAAAATCCCTTGCTGCCACATTGGCCAAATGGAAGGGGGAAAAGCATAGGAAGACACTGGCATGTGCAGAGTCCCTAGGAGGAACCATGAGAGAGTCAAGAAACTTAAAGGAGGCCGGAGTAGCACGGAGAGCAAAGAGGAGAGGGAGAGAGAGGAAGGAGGTCAGGGCCCACATCATGAAGGTGCAGAGGGGGCCTGGCCTTTCTTTTGACGGGCAGGAGAGGCGGCCGGGAGGCAAGGTCTGGGGTGGAGCTTCGCAGAGGACACCTCTTCAGGTTTTGAGGGGAAGGCACCATCTTCTGAGCCCGGTTCCTTCCTCCTTGGTCCCCTCTAAATGCTCTCTTGGGCCCGTTTCTCTTCCTCCCTCAGGGTCCAAAGAAAGGGTCTGACCCACTAAGCTGACCAGGAGTGCTCCTGGGGGCTGGAAGGCAGGGCCGCTGCCACAAAGAGTCAGAGTGGTTTCATCAGTCCCCGAGTCCTGAGTCCAACGTGGAAATTCCAGGCCTTGGGATGTAAGCCTCCAGGATAGTGACACCAGTTGGGAGACTCACTCCACTCAAGAGAGCACCCCCAAAAGGGTTGGGAAGCCCAGGCCCCCAACTTGATGCCCCAAGGACAGTATCAGGATGACCTGGCAGCCCCGGGCAGCTCCTTCCCCAAAATGAAAACTTTCACCATCACAAGGGGCAGACAGAGAGCTTGCTCGGAGGCTTGCCCCTTGTGGACCCCAGCCCAGTTGGGACCCTAGAAGGCCCTGGAGCTCATTTCTGCTCCAGAAAGGTGCAGTCCCTCAGCTTCCTTTGCCGCCCCAGGTGCAGGAGGGCGTCTCAGCCAGGTCTGCGCAGGAGGACTTACAGACGTGGAACCCCAGAGCTTGCCAGGACAGCACCAACCTGATGGACCCCTCCCAGTCCTGGCCCTTCCATCCAAGCCCAGAAACTCAGACCTAGGCCTACGACAAAAGACCAGGAAGTCCCCCAGCATGGGTGGGGGCATTTGCTGTTTCCTCCAGGGAGGAAACAAGGGCTGCCCAAGGCCAGGTCCTGTGGAAGCACATCCTGCGCCCTGGGCTGCTGACCCAGGACAGGATAGGCCCCTGGTATTCGGGACCAACCTTGGGCAATGGGGAACACAGAGGGAAGGCTTGGCCTTCAAATCTGGGTCCAAAGCCCAGTATCCTGAAATACTAATTTTGGGTCCCTCTGTGCCTCAGTTTCCTCATCTGTTAAATGGGATGATAATAATACCTTCCACATAGGGTTCTGGTAAGGATTGCGTTAGCCTAGAGGGGTATCACATGGTGACCAAGAGCAGGGGTTCTGGAGCTGCCCTGCCTGGGTCCAAATCCCGGCTCCTGTGCTGCTAGCTGTGTAATCTCGGCATGTTACCCTCTCTGTCTGTGTTTCACCTGTAAAAATGGAGATAAAAGGGCTGCCATGAGGATTAAAGGAGCAAGCCCATGTACCCAGAACACTGTCTGGTATGTCCTAAGTGCTCACAAATGCCACCTATTGGTTATACTCCACGGAGATGGTACTTGGCACACAGAGGTGCCCAGTAAATGTGGGCTCCATCCTCTGGTCCCCGTGACTCTCACATCTTGTGTTTCCTATCCCCAAATCCAAACACCCAAGATTCCCTTTGATCTCCCACCAATAAAATCTTATTAGCTTGTTCACACTCAAGTGTAAATGATGGACGGCCATTTAATTTATACCAGAGGAGCATATGCACACCTTCAGCCAAAGGAGCAATGTGCTGATGGTGGACTCCAGGCCACAGGCCGGGCTGAGGGTAGGGAGCATTTGGGAGGGTAGCTCTCCCAGAGTCCTTCAGTGATAACCACCTCAGCAGGCCAGGTATCTCCAGGCTGGAAAGGGTATTGGGTTTAAGACCCAGCTCTGCTCCTGATTGCTGTGTGACTTTCAGCAACTCACTTGACCTGTCTGAATCTCAGCTTCCTCATCTGACTAATGGGATAACTTGTCTTCTGCCATCCTCAAGGGGCTGTCCAAAATTAAATGCATCTGAAAATGGTCTGCCTTTGTCTCTCAGGATTGTGGTTATTTGTCCACGTGTCCATCTGCTCTTCCCAGCCTGGACAGGGAGCAGGTGTTCAGTGAACGTGAGCTGAACTGCAGTGCACATCCTGATCTTGGGGCATAATCCCTCCCGTGCACCCAGTCACAGCCACGTTCGCATTCTCATCCATTCCCCACCATGCCCCACAGTGGCCTGGGGAAGCTTGGAATACCCCATTTAGCAGATGAATAAACTGAGACCTGGGGAAGTCAGGGCATTTACCTGAAGTGGTGGAGCTGGGAATCACCCACAAGCACTTGACTGCAAAATCCGTGCTGTCACGTGATTTCTGGATATCAGAGTTGGTGCTGGAAGGGGAGCAGTTTCCCTTCTCACAGGGACGTGGGACCAGCAGAAGGAGACAAAAATACAAGGACACCTGTTGGCTTCAGTCACAGGCTACATTAGCCTGAACTTTAGGTCATCGGATTCTCGTGACCTCTCTGCGTGGGAGGGGTTCTTATCCTACAGATGGCAAACTTCAGGCTCAGCGAAGTAAAGGCATTTGGCCAGTAAGCTGAAGAGGAGGACTTGAAGCCAGGGGTGTCTGACACTGATGGCTGTGCCTGTGACCATTACCATGCAGTGCCCTCACCCACACTCACACACACCCGGCTGGCTTGAGAGGCAGGGGGACAGAAGATCTGGGAGTGAAAGCTGCTGCACTGTGGGGATGTCACGGGAAGGTGGGCGCATGATCTTCCTAGAGGGCAGACCTGTCCACGGGGATGGGTGTATCCTCTGCAGGACAGGAGCTCCTGTCCCCGGAGGAATGCAAAAAGCCAGGGAGGTTGTAGTCAGCTCTGAAAGGGTAGTGGACTAGTGGCCACTCAGCACTGCTGCTGACCCCCGCCTGGGGGAGGCTTCTCACCCTCTTTCTGCTCCTCCTGTCCTCTTTGTCCCATCTCTTCCTCATCTCTGCCTGTGTCCCTTGTGTGACTTGGACAAGTTCCTTCACCTCTCTCCTAAATTCATAGCGTTTAACACCGTCCAAAGGGCCAAGGGCTCAGTAAGGACAATTATGGTCGTTTTTCTTTTCTCCCCTCCCTCCATCCTGGAGAGCCCTGAAGAAAAGGAGGCTGGACTCCCTGGGTTCTAAGTCTCCTCCTGCATAGCGAGCATCTCCTTCCTATCCTGTCCCATTCCTTCTTAGTCTCCAGAGAGGCAGGGAGAGCCGAACTCAACCCGGGGTCTGCTGGCGCGACCCGGGTGTGCCAACCCTCATCCCTTCGCCTCAGTATCGCATCCACGAAAGGGGCGAGCGCTCCCCGCGTCCCTTGGTGCCGTCTCTGGGTGTCCTCCGCAAAGGTGGCTGAGCTCCAAGAGGCGCAGGACGCTGGCCCTGCAGGAGGGCGTGTGCTGCCCCCGCCCATCCCGCGCTCGCGCCGGGGCACTGAGAACCCACGTGATTTCCCGGCAGAGGCAGCCGGCTCCCTGCACCCGTCGCCAGGCTGCTCTCCGCGCCTACTTTCAGTTTCGTGCTCAGCACGGCGCAGCCGGGAGCGCAGCCGGGAGCGCAGCCGGGAGCGCAGCCGGGAGCGCAGCCGGTGAGTGCCCACCACTTCGCGGGGCAGCGGGACCCGGCTGGGGCGAGCTGCGCAGGGAGGTTCGGGGTGCAGACGCCGCGCGGAGCGGGGAGGAGGGGATGCCAGAGGACTCTGGAGCTGGACGTACCATGGCCAGGTAGCCGACCTGATGGATGGTCGGGCCGACGGACGGCTGGACTGATGAACGGGTGGGCAGATGGGGCGCCGGTGGCGGGGGAGCGCTCAGCCTGCCACCCTGCAGAGTTTGGGGGATGAGTTTCGAGCCGCAGAGGAAAGCAAGTCTGGGTCACCCGGGTTGGGTTTCGGGACGCGGCTGCGTTCCCGCTCCTTCGCATTCCTCCCCACCTTCGCACCGCTCCTGTCACCTCCTGGAGCTTCAACTTCTAATTGTCTTTTAAAGAATTCAGAAGTCCCCGGCTCATTGCGTGGGACCTTTTAGCCTAAAAGAGCCTTTTATGATGGACAATTCCAAGCATGTGCAAAAGTAGAAGGAATAGGGGCTCCCTGGAGGCGCAGTGGTTAAGAATCCGCCTGCCAATGCAGGGGACACGGGTTCGAGCCCTGGTCGGGGAGGATCCCACATGCGGTGGAGCAACTAAGCCCGTGCGCCACAACTACTGAGCCTGTGCTCTAGAGCCCGTGCTCCGCAACAAGAGAAGCCACTGCAGTGAGAAGCCCACACACCGCAAAGAAGAGTAGCCCCCGCTCACCGCAACTAGAGAAAGCCCACGTGCAGCAACGAACGCAGACAAACTAAATAAATAAAAATAATAAATAGAAGGAATAGAATTAGGTTGAGCTGTACAAATATGTCAGTTTTGATATAACCAAGCCCCACGTAACCGCCACTTAGGCTTCAACAGTCATCACCCTAGACCAGCCCAGTTTCGTCCCTACCACACTTCATTTTGAAACAAATGGCAAACAGACACAGCAGCATCTCAACTGAACTTTCCCACAATGTACTAAAATAAGGAGTTTTTTAAAAGACATAACCACAATACCATCAGCATAACTTTAAACATTTTAACAGTAATTCCTTAATGTCAAATCTCCACAGACTATTCCTGATGAGCGTTTTAACCTCATAAGTAATAGGTGAATACATGGGTGCCCTTTTGTTTACATGGGTGTCGTTTTGCTACTTGCTTTTTATGTTTCCAAGTCGTTTTCAGCCATTTTCTCACCCAGGGGGCCAGGACCTGGAGTTTGCTGGGATGGCCATTTGGGGAGGTACAGGGAGGCCCCCCACCTTCAGCACCGTTTGCATCCATTTTATACGTTGGGGTTTTTATGTTTCCTTTTTAAGAGCTTGGGGGTTCTGCAGGCTTCAAAAGCAGTTTGAAAACCAGCACTTCCGAGCCTCCCAGACCTGGGGATGGCAGGAGGTAGGGTGTACCCAGGGTCAGTACATGGAGCCTCATCCCTCCAAATTGCTTTTCTTTCTAAGAAGCAGTAAGCTCGGAAAACACTAGGCTTGGTCTCTTACCAGAGAACAGAGCGGGGGTGAATCTGATGATTTCATGGTGCATGCAGGCCCCCCATCCAGCGTGCTTTCCTCAAAACTTACTGATAGCACCGGCTGGTCATTGATTATGCCCACCTGCCTCCCCTCCAAAGCACAGCACCAGGACTTCCTTGGTGGCACAGTGGTTAAGAATCCGCCTACCAATGCAGGGGACATGGGTTCGATCCCTGGTGCAGGAAGATCCCACATGCCACGGAGCAACTAAGCCTGTGTACCACAGCTACTGAGCCTGTGCTCCAGAGCCCATGCTCCGCAACAGGAGAAGCAGTCCACGCACCCCAATGAAGAGTAGCCCCCGCACTCCACAACTAGAGAAAGCCTGCGCAGCAACGAAGACCCAATGCAGCCAAAAACAGAAACAAAAACAAAAAAACAAAGAAAGCACAGCGCCAGCTAGATTGGAGCCTGGCATGGGAGGCAGAAGGACCAGGGCTCTCAGCACCTTGAATTTGCTTGGTGACCATGGACTATTTTCTCTCTCAGAACCTCGGTTTCTCATCTGTAAAATGGGGATGATAACATGTCCTTCAAGGTACCGCACCAGCATGAGGAGTGATGGGTCCTTGATGAAAGCAGACAAGCGGAAGGGAAAGTTCCTTGGAAGAGTTTCCCAATATGCTTAGCCTTATTCCTCCAGCAGATACAGAGATGCCTGGATGTTTGTAGGGCCATGTCAGTTTCCTTACACCCAAAACATATACCCACCTCCCTCTGAGAAAAATTCAGCCAAATTACTTAGTATGTCTTCCCCTGTCTGTTATGGATTGAATTGTGTCCCTGAAAAGGATAGGTAGAAGTCCTAACCCCTCTACCTCAGAATGTGGCTTTATTTCGAACAAAGGTCGTAGCAGATGTAATTAATTAAGATGAGGTCATACTATACTAGGTGGGTCCTTAATTCAGTATGAATGGTGTCCTTATAAGAGAGGAGGCCAGCATAGGAAAATCGAGACACACGGGGAGAAGACAGCCATGTGACACAGGCAGAGATTGGAATGAGGCATCTACAAATTAAGGAGGTCCAAGAACTGCCCAGAAACCACCAGAAGCTAAAAGAGGCATGGCAGGGCCCACCCCTAGAGGCTTCAGAGGGAGCATGGCCCTGCCCACACCTTGGTTTCAGGCTTCTGGCCTCCAGAACTGTGAGAGTATAAATTTCTTACATTTTAATCCACCGAGTTTGTGGTTCTTTGTAGCAAAGCTAGGAAACTAATTTGCCATCCCAGAATCTCTCCTCTGCTTTCCACAGAGTCCCACTAAGGATTAAGCACATTAAATACAGGTGCAAATGCTTTGTAAAAACTTTTTGGAGGCCTTCTAAGGATGTAAACTACGGGTTTTCTTTACTGGATCTATTTTTTGAGTGTTGCTGGTAGCCCAAAGTCTATCTTGGATGAAACTCAGTCTGCAAGGCAAACACCCAAATGATTTGAGAAGGAAACAAACAAAAAGTGAAAAATTGATCAGTCTGACGGTTAGTGCAGGCTGTCTGGGGAAGGGAAGGCTTTTGGTCCCTCAGACCACCCTGAAGATCATATCTCTGCCATCCACTGCCCTTAAAACCAGGAGGAAGTGGTGAGGCAGGCAAGCACTTGGTTATATGTGGGACTTGTTACCCATAAAATAAGCATGCTTATGTAACCTGTATACCATCTGGGGTTTCCTAGATCCTTGAGAGCTGGGTGAAATTGTCATGAACCCCCATTATGCTCCTTCGGGAGGCCCTAAGTATTCTCAAGCTCTCTGTGGATCTGGAAGGTGGAGATGAATGTCAGCGTAGTTCTTCTGGCCACGTCTGACCCCAGACTCTTCTGCTCTGCAGTCATCCTCTCTCACTAGTAGAGCAGGGCATGAAACCAGTAGGTTTTCTGGGGTGAAAAGATGGGAGACCTGGGGAGACCTGAGTACACTCGTTTACCCTGCCTGTTTCAACCCTGATTCTCCGTGATGGGACTCCTGCTACATCCTGTGAGTCACTCCAAAGTCTTTTGATAAATTCCCAGACACAGGAGTCTTTCCCAGAAAGGT